CTTGAGCCTTAAGAGCGTTTCTGCCTTTCTGTGTTTAAAATACGCGGTGTTTAGCTTTGTTGCAGGAAAAACATGTTTTGGTTTGTTTGCCGTAAAATTGGGCTGTTTTCCAGCGATATTCCACCGAAAAAATGTTTGTGCTTTTGCTTTGCGCTTGATTTTACTCAAAACAACGTTTTTGCTTGTGTTTGGGTAAGTTACAACGGTTTTGCTAGCTTTTGGCTAGGCTGCGCTGTTTTCAGCATCATCTTTCTGAGAACGTTTTTTTTTTTGTTAACAAACTAACCTTGTAAATTACGCTGCTTTTAGTTAGACTGCACCCAAAGCATGTTTTTGTTCGTTGGCAACAACATTAGGCTGCTTTGAGCTTTATGTTGCTTGCTCCTTGCTAAAATACGGTCTTCTCAGCTTTATAACACCAAAAACTTGTTTTGCTTTGTTTGCCGTGAAATTGGGCATTTTACAGCACTATTGCAGTAGTAAATGGATTTCTTTTCCAATTTTTAGCGAGTGACGGTGATGTTTACTTCATGGCACTCAAAACAACGTTTTTTCTGTTTCTGGCAAGTAACTCTGTTTTTAGCATTATCTTTCTAAGAACAACCTTACAATCGACTGTTTCCTACATGAAATACGTTTTTGATCCCGTAACTTATCGAAAACATCTTTTGGTTTGTTTGCAGAGAATTTGAGCTGGTTTGAGCTTTATTTTCAGCAAAAACATGTTTTGGTTCCTGTGCCGTAAATTGAGCTGTTTACAACGATATTGCATGGGGAAATAGTTTCCTGCTAGTTTTTAGTAGGTGACGAAAATTTTTACTTGATTTTATTGATTTTACTAAAAGTAATCTTTCTGCTTGTCTTCTGCTAAGTTACACTGTTTTCTTCGTTGTGTAACTAAACTACACTTTTGACGCTCTATCATACCGAAATCATGTTTTGGTTTGTTCGCAACGAAATTGGTTTCACCTGATTTTATTCAAAACAACGTTTTCGTTTCTTTTCGTACCCTAAACGCCCACTTTAGATACGAAAAAAAGGAAAAGGCTGTTCTGGCAAACATGATACTAAAAACAGCGTTACTTATTCGAAAATAAACAGAAACGTTGTTTCGAGTAAAATCAAGTAAAAATCAAAGTGACTTACTGTAAACTCGCAGAAAACATTTTTCCGTTGAAATATCGCTGGAAACAGCCCAATTTTACGGCAAACAAACCATAACATCTTTTTCCTGCAGTAAAGCTAAACACAACGTATTTAAAACACAGTAAGGCAGAAAAGCTCTTTTTTATGACGTAAGGCTCAAGGTAACCTAATTATGTTGCCAACAAGCCAAAACATTTTTTCGGTAATATAGAGCGTCCAAAGTGTAATTTGGTTATGGAAACAGAGAACAAGTTTGTCCTCAGAAAGACGATTCTGAGACAGCGTCACTTAGCCAAAAGAAAGGAAAACCGTTGTTTGAGTAAAATCAAATGAAAATCAGGGTGACCCCCTGCATACTGAAAGAAAACCATTTTTCGGTGCAAAAACACCGAAAACAACCCAATATTACAGCAAAGAAACCAAAACATGTTTTTTGTGCTATAAAGCTGAGTCTTACGTGTTTTAGCGACGAAAAAAGCAAAAACACTTTTTTTTTGTGATATAAAACTCAAAGCAGCGCGATTTTCTTGCCAACATGCAAACGCTGGTTTTATATAATATACAGCTCAAAGATAATTTAGTTTCGTTACAAAGAAACTAAAGCATTTTTCTAGTAATATAGAGCATCAAAAGTGTAGTTTGGTTACGAAAACAGAGGTAAAGGTTGTTCTCAGAAAGAAGATTCTAAAACAGCGTCACTTGCCCAGACACAAGTAAAAAGGTTGTTTTGAGTAAAATGAAGTAAAAACCAGGGTAATTTGTTGCAAACTGGAAGAAAATCTTTTCCAGGTGCAATAACGCTGGCAACAACACAATTTTACGGCAAAAAAAACCAAAATATGCTTTTTATGCTATATAGCTGATTCCAACGTGTTGAAGCAACAAAAAACAAAAAAGCAAAAACGCTTTTTTTTTGTGATATACTGTTCAAGGAAGCTCAATGTTGTTAACGAAGCAAAACATATTCTGGGTGCTATGAAGCTTGAAACAGCGCATTTTTCAACAATACAATTAAATTGCTGTTTTTTTGTGATATAAACCTCCGAGCTTCCAATTTAGTTGCAAAAAAACCCAAAAGATGTTTTTGGTAAGAAAGAGCGTCAAAAGTGAAGTTTAGTTACAACACAGAGAAAATAGTTGCTCTCAAAAAGATAATGCTGAAAACAGCGTAACTTTGCAGAAGACAAGCAGAAACGTTGCTTTTACCAAAATCAAATTAAAAATCTACGTGAGTCACCGCAAACTAGCAGGAAACCTTTTTCCCATGCAATATCGTTGGAAAAAGCGCAATTCTACGGCACACAAACCAAAACATACTTTTCCTGCAATATAACTGAAGGAAGCTTATTTACACACACACGCAAAAAAACACTTTTATTTGACACAAAGCTCAAACCAGCCCTCACTCGCTACAAACACATTAAAACATGTTTTTGATAAGTTAGAGCGTCAAAAACGTATTTCATGTAGGGAAATGTGGCAAAGGTTGTTCTAAGAAAGCTTATACTGAAGACTGTTACTTAGCCAAAACAGGCTCAAACGTAGTTTTGAGGACAATCAAATGAAAATCAAGGTCATTCACTAAAAACTGGAAAAAGAAATCCATTTACCAGTTCAAAAACGCTTGGAAGGGCCCAGTTTGACGCCAAACAAACCAAAACATATTTTTTGTGCTATAAAGTTGAGTGCAACGTGTTTTAGCCAAGAAAAAGCAAAAACGCTGTTTTTTGCGATAGAAAGCTCAAAGAAGCTCAATTTCATTGTCAACTAACTAAAAGATATTTTCGGTGCTATAAAGCTCAAAACAGTGTGTTTTCCTCTAAAAAACTAAATGGCTACTTTTTTTGACATAAAAGCTCGAAGCTTCCAATTAAGCTGCAACTAAACCAAAACATGTTTTCGGTAAGATAAAACGTCAAAAGTGTAGTTTACTTAAAAAACCGAGAAAATGGTTATTCTCACAAAGATAATGCTGGAAACAAGCTAACTTAGCTAAAACAGGGTAAAACGTTGTTTTGAGTGCCCTCTAGTAATAATCAGCGTCACTCGCAGAAGACTGAATAAGAAATCCATTTACCGGTATTTAACGCTGGAAAAAGCTTAATTTGACGGTAAGCAAAGCAAAAACATGTTTTTGGTGCAATAAAGCTGAAAACAGAGTATTTTAGGAATTAAATAGGGAAAACGCTGTTGGGGCTGTTGTCACAAAGATGATGCTGAAAACATCGCAACGTAACCAAAAACTAGCAAAACCGTAGTCACTTAGCCAATCACAAATAAAAAACGTTCTTTGGAGTAAAACCAAGAGAAGGGTGACTGGCTGCAAACTGGAAAAAAAACCTTTTTCCCGTGCAATAACGCTGGAAACAACACAACTTTAGGGCAAACAGACTGTTGTGTGAGTGCAACGTGTTTTAGCAAACAAAAAGCAAAAACGCTGTTTTTTGCGATATAAAGCTCAAAGAACACAAATTTTGTTGCCAACTAACCAAAAAATATTTTTGGTGTTATGATGCTTGATGCAGCGTATTTTCTGGCGAAAAACTAAATCGCTGCTTTTTCTGACATAAAGTTCGAAGCTTCCAATTTCGTTGCCAACAGACCAAAACATGTTTTCCGCATGATAAAGGGTAAAAAACCCAGTTTAGCTATGAAAAAAAGGAAAAGCCTGTTCTCAGAAACATAATGCTGAAAACAGTGTACCTTAGCCGAAAACAAACAAAAACGTTGTTTTGAGTAAAATCAAGTAAAATCAAAGTAACTCGCTGCAAACTGGAAGAGAACCTTTTTTTGGGTGCAATAACACTAAAAACATCCCAATTTTGCCGCACACAAACCAAAACATGTTTTCCTGCAATAAAGCTACACGCAGCGTATTTTAAACAGAAAGGGAGAAACGCTTTTTTTTTTGTGAAATAGGGCTCAGAGCAATTTAATTTAGATGCCAACAAACCAAAACATTCTTTCGGTAACATAGAGCGTCAAAAGTGTAGTTTGGTAACGAACAAAGAGGAAAAGGTTGTGCTCAGAAAGATGATGCTGAAAACAGCAGAACCTAGCAAAAAATAAGCAAAAACGTTGTTTTGAGTAAAATCAAGTAAAAATCAGCGTGACTCGCTGCAGCCTTGCAAAACATCTTTTCCCGTTGCAATAACGCTGGAAACAGGGCAATTTTACAGAAAACAAGCGAATACATGTTTATGGTGCAATAAAGCTGAAAGCAGCGTATTTTAGCATTCAAAAAGGGAAAACGCTGCTTCCCCGTAAGATAAAACTGAAAGCAGTTTAATTTAGTTGCCATCGGACCAAAACGTCTTTGGTGCGATAAACCGTGAAAAACCGTACTCTAGTTACAAAAGAGTCCAAGGCATTACTCGCAGGAAGATACTGCTGAAGACAGTGGTAACTTAGCCGAAAACAAACGAAAACGTTGGTTTAGTAAAATCAAGTTCTAATTGGGGTGACTAGCTGCAAACAGGCAGAAACGTTTCTTTGATGCAGGTACGCTGGAAACATGTTTTTGGTCCGATAAAGCTGAAAGCAACGTATTTTAGAAACCACAAAAACGCTTTTCTGTGAGATTTAATTCACAATCGCCCGGTTTAATTCCAAACAAATGAAAATATGTTTTCCATTCGATAAATGCTCAAAACAGCATAAGTCGGAAATTCCACTCGCATGCTGCAAGGCTACACCAGTAATTGCTTAGGGTTATGGTTAGGGTTAGGGTTAGGGTTTGGGTCAGGGTTAGGGTTTGGTTAGGTTTGGGCTAACCCTACGTGTTTGTAGAATCTTTTTATATGCAGATATAGAGCTACAACCGGGGATTGAACAAGAGATAAGAACTAGGTGAGATGGCGGTTACAAACAGAATTCCCGAAGCCTTAGAATCCTGGAGGGGTGAAAAGAAGTACAGGGGACATCTAAGATAAGTATGGCTCGTTTTCTACTAGTGCCAGAGGCAGGACAGACTCTTGTTCGAGTGGCCAGCTTCTCCGACAAAGTTTTCACGTTACGATCACCTCTCCCTGTTGCTGAATACCATACCGTCAGCGGTGTAAGTGGCAGTGCTACTCCTACAGAAATTGAGGGTAGTCCATCAGCAACTAACCATCCATACTGCTCAGTTATAGACAGAAATATTAAGGATGACAAGCAGGAAAGTACAGAAAGAAAGAATAGAAGGGCAAAAGTTATCCAGCCAGGTTCAGATGGGCTTTCAGAGGAGCAGAAAAGGCAATTTTCCCTACTGATAGACCAATATGAGGGCATATTTCCAATTAACAATTCTGATTTAGGATAATTAGATCTTATGGAACACGACATTAACACTGGTGAGCATGCTCCCATTGAGCAGCTTCCTCGTCGCATACTACCGCACCAGAGGGAGATCATAGATCAACAGCTGGCGAACCGCTAGCGAATGGTAGAGTTGAAGAATCACAGAGCCCCCGGAGCAGTCAGGTTGTTTTGGTAAGGAGACATAGTGGAAGTTACCGTATGTGCATTGATTACCGCAAACTGAATTTGTGTACATAGGAAGATGCAATACCGTTAGAGAGGACCGATGATGTCTTGGAAGCGCTGGGTGGTGGTCAGTGGTTTTCCTGTCTGGATTTGGCGTCTGGGTATCGGCAGATGCAAGTAAAGAAGAGAACAGACCCGAAACAGCATTCTCAACCCATCGTGGACAATTCCAATGGAGGGTTATGCCTTTTGGACTTTCGAGTGGGCCAGCTAGTTTTACCAGATTGATGAATCTAGCACTCAGTAAACTGACTTCGACACACTGTCTTGCGTATTTGGATGATACTTTATCTGGGCTCCTTCAGTTCCCTCGAGGAACATCTGCATCGCCTACGTTTATTATTTGACAGAATACGAACTGCTGCTCTTAAGCTGAAGGCAACTTAGTGTCGGTTTCTAAAGAGAGAAGTTCGTTCCTAGGGCATGTTGTCTCTTTAGAAGGCATCAAAACTGACCCTGACAAGGTCAAGACTGTTAGAACTTAGCCAACCCCACTAGACATCAAAGAGCTCCAAAGCATCATTGGTCTTGCAATTACAATAGGCGGTTTATTTCTGGATTCTCGATCGTCCCAGAACCACTCTACGAATTGTCGAGGAAGGTTGTTTTTTCCAGTGGCAGATGGAACAAGAAAGTGCCTACAATGAACTGAAACATCGCTTGACCATTGCACCCGTCTTGCCATATCCCGATTTTTGTCCTGATACAGGATTATTCGTACTTGACACAGATCCCAGGCAACCCCTGGGCATTGGTGCTGTTTTATCTCGATTGCAACTCAATGACACTCAGCGTGTGATAGCTTACCGGAATCGTTCTTTGAATGAGCAGGAAAAGAACTATTCCGGGACTCAATTAGAGATACTCGCTCTGGTAAACTATATGGGCCATCTACGCTATTATTTGGTGGGACAAAAATTGCGCCTGAGGACTGATAATCACTCATTAGTGTAGCTAATGACTTTTACAGAGCCTCAAGGGCAAGTGGCCCGTTGGCTAGGGCGCTTACAGTATGATTCTGAGATACAATGTCACCCGGGAAGGTTCCACAACAATTCAGACGCTTTGTCTAGAAGGCCCAGACGACAACATGGCAATTGTCCATCATGTACTCCAACAGGATTCTCCCAAGTTACGGCTGTTACTAGACACCTTCCGGTAGGTGAAACCCCAAGTGAAGTGAGAAATATTTGGTCGGCAGAAGTGGTTGCACAGGCCCTGAGAGATAATCCAGATATCAGCTTGGTACTTTGTCGTTTGTTGAAAGAGTGGAGGAAACCAGCTGTTGAGGAAATTCATGTCAATGCACTCTGCTGCTCGTGCTGTCTGGGCCCACTTTGAACTGTTGTTGCTACAACAGGGGGTTCTCTATATAAAGTCAGCTGCCCACACTACTCAAGCTAAACTGAGGATGGTTGTACCGAAACAGTGAGTGGAGAAGGCCCTTGTCGAAGTTCATGATGGCGTTGTTGGCGCCCACCTTGGAGGAATGAAGAGTCTAATGAAGATATAAGCTAGATTCCGGAGGCCTGGCACAACCAAAGAGGTGCATTATTACTGCGATCGATGTCTGACATGTGCCAATTGTAAGCCAAGGGCAAAACCCAGAGCACCACTGTGGTCATTTACCTCTGGCAACCCCATGCAAGGCATCCATATTGACATTGTTGCTCCCTTGCCACGGTCTCGGAGAGGAAACCGCCACATTTTAACACCTCAGTGCAGTTTTACTAAAAGGGCTGAGGTGTTTGCAATGTCCGACCAGCGTGCCACAACCTCTGCAAAGGTGCTTGTAAGGAACTGGATCTGTAGATTTGGTGTGCCTGACAGCATTCATAGCAATCAAGGCCGTAATTTCGAGTCTAAAACATTCTCGGGAATCTGCCAGCTGCTGAGTATTTACAAAACGCGCACCAGCGCGTATCACCCTGAGGGCAACGGCCAAGTAGAAAAGCTGCACAAAACCTTAAGGAGCATGTTAAAAGCTAAAGTTGAAGATAATCCAGCTACATGGGATGAGCACCTTGATTTCTGCGTGATGGCCTATCGCTGTAGTGTTCACTCCTCCACGGGGCACAACCCGTTCGAGGTCATGTTCGTTAGAGAGATGAGGATACCTTTGGATGTAATGGTTGGCGGTGCCGAAGACAATGAGTGTTCCTACACTGATTTTGTTGCTGTAGAACTGCACAAGTTGCACAATACTTAACTGCTTGAGGTAGCTCAAATGGTCAAACGAGCTACACGTTTTCAACTACACAATGAAGCTGAATTGGTTCCAACAGCTCAAATTGTCTAACTGGCTTAATGTATTCGACTGGACAAAACATCAAATCAGCGAAGACCGTTAATCTGACAGCAAAAAATGCAAAATCTTTCTCGATTCGTTGAAGGAGTTCAACTTCTCAAATTTGCTCAAGTGGTCTAACTGCACAGGATGCGTAAAGCTTTATAGGTTCAATCTAGAAATCTTCACAATGTAGCTAAATTTGTCGAAGTGGCTGAAGTGGTCCAAGTAGCTGAATTGGTTCCACTGGTTTGGTGGTCAAACTAGTGAACAAAGTTGCAGAATCTATCGTAATTCGTTGAGGTCGTTCAAATTGTGAAAGTAGCTCATAATTCTTGAAACTGCACAGAAACTGCACAATTTAGCTGAATTGTTTCAAGTAGTTAAAATTGTCAAAGTAGCCTCATCGATTCAACTGATTGAAAGGTCAAACAAGCAAAGTGTCAAACTGCACAAACCGCTCATTCTATATGAATTGGTTGAAGAAGTTCAAATGGTCAAACTGACTAGTACGGGCTAATCACACATAATCATGGAAAAGTCAAACTAGTGTGGACAATCACTCCAAAAATAGCGTAATCTATGTTAACTGGTTCACATGGTTGAAATGGTCAAACTAGTTTAACTTGCTCAACTGCACAAACCGCAGGATTTAACTGAATTTTTTTCATGAAAAATCAGCTTAATTGCTTCGACTGTTGAAATAGTCAAAGTAGCGGAAATAGTTAAACTGCACAAATTGCACTCTCTATCTCGACTAGCTGAAGTAGGTGAAATGCTCGAACTAGCTTAAATGCTTCAACTGCACAATATGCACACATAGCTTAACAGTTTGAACTGCAGAAACAGTACAATATATCATACATGGATGGAATGGTTAAATAGTCCAACTAGGGAAGTCTGGAAAAAAAAACAGCAAAGAGTTAGAACTGTAAAAGTTAGAAATGCAAGGAAGGCTGAATAGAGAAGAAAAGGAAAGACAAGAAAGGATGGAAGAAAAGGACAGACAAGAAAGGATGGAAGAAAAGGACAGACAAGAAAGGATGGAAGAAAACGACAGACAGGAAAGGCTGAAATTTTATATCACCGAGTATCTTAAGTTACTATTTCCATTTTAGGAAGCAGATACTGATAAGTGTTTCTTGCACTTTGAGAAAGTAGCCGGCAATCTTAAGTAGCCCACGGATTACTGGGTAATTCAACTACAGAGTGTACTAGTCGGTAAAGCAAGAAAAATTTAAACACAGTTAAGTGTAGAGCAAGCTGCAAATTATAACAGTGCTAAGGATATTATTTTAAAGGGTTCTGAAATAGTTCCCGAGGCCCAGAGACCGTGAGAAAGTCAATAGTCAGACTGATGTAGAATTTGCTAGAAGTAAGGAACAGTTATTTGATCGTTGGTGTCATTCGCAGAGTGTAGATGAGAGTCAGGATAGGTTAATGACAGCCAGTTTTAATAGAGGGAGTCTAAGAGGTGCATTTGCAGTGATGTCCGAACGTTCGTCAATGAGCAAAAAGCACCAACATTAGAGGAAGATGCACGACTAGCAGATGAGCTTTGGTTGAGGCACAAAGTGAACTTCATGGAAAAACCCCATCAGCTTCAAACTTCACCCGCTAGAGTTCTGCCTCCTTCGGTACTACGATGGTTTGCAAAACCAGAGAAGTCGGCAGAATGACGGAGGAAATCCAAAGCAGAATCCTGCTAACAATTATGGGAATCGTTTCAGCTCCTCATGGTCAAGACAGAACAAGTTTGATCGAGGTAAGCCCATCAAGCCGCCGACATGTTACTTTTCCAGAAAAGCTGGTCAGCTGATTTCTAGCAGCCCAGAAAAGTGGAGAGTGGCGCCTAAGCATGATGGTTTTCTCGTTAAGACATTTTATTTAACTGCTGTTGGTGAAGATACATCCCCTCCCCAAGTTCTAAGAGAGAAGACTCAGGCAAGTGCTTTGAGTGAAGTCAGTGGCCCTTGCAAATCTGTCATTGTTTTCTTTCAGCCCTTCATCCACGATGGTTCGGTGTCATTGTCAACTAATACGTCCAACTCCATACCAATCAAGATTTTGACAGGCACTGGAACCTCACAGTCTCTATTGCTGAGTGACCCTTTGGTGTTTCTGAGAAGTCGTCCACTTGTGCGAGTGTTCTAATAAGTAACCTTCAGGCAGGGAAAGACACCACATACAAGAAAATAGATATGGACAATCTGTGACCCCAGGCATTAAAAAGCAGGCTATTAATACTGTTATGGAAGCAGTGATAACAGTGATAAGAATGTGTTGACAAGAAATATGTTGACAGAAAAAACTTTACTTTAGACGCATCAAAAGGTCTTGATATGAAGGCAATAAAGAGATTAAATTAGCAGACCCAACAAGTGCAACAAATGGGAACAATAAAAGGTATGTTGATACAATAAAAAAGTGATGGTACAGGAGTAATGACTGATAATTTGAATATCAAGAGTAGAAGTTGGATTGTGCAAACTGATTAAGCTAGTTGTGTATTTTTTTTTTTTTCAGTAGAACCAGTAAGGGCAGTTTCATCATTTGATGTATTTCAAGCAACGGAGATAGATTGGTCAATTTGTGTATTTATGTATCTTGGCTGGTTCAACTATTTTACTAGTAAGTAATACAATCAGAAACCGCTAAACTCCATAAACGTCACCATCTATCTCAGCTAGTTGAACTAGTTGAAATGGTTAGATTAGCTTCAATTGTTGCAGAGGACAAAATGCATAACCAGCTTGATAGATTGAACTGCACAAACTTCTCAATTTAGCTGAACTAGTTAAAGTGGTTAAATAATTAAACTAACGAAAACAGTAAGAGTGCGCAAAATAGTTCAAATGCTCAAAGTAGATTAATTGGTTCAACCACAAAAAGTGCACAGCTAACGATAGGACCAACTGCACCAAATGCACAATCAAGCCTTATTGGTTATACTCGTTAAATAGTCCAACTAGCTGAGATAGTTAAACTGCACAAATTGTACAGTCGATCTTAGTCAAAGTTGTTCGAATGGCTATACTAGGTTCAGTGGTTCAACCGGAGAAAATGCAACACCGGCTTAAATAGTTGAACTAGTTTACAATTCAAACAAGGGAAGAAGTTAAAGTGCTTGGTTCTTAAAGTGCACAAACGGCAAAATGTAGCCAAAGTTGTTTAAGAAGTTGAAATGATCAAAGTAGCTTAATTAGTTAAACAAGTAAATAGTCCAACCAGTGAAGACAGCTATACGCACAAATCGGCGTTACTGCAGAAACTTCACAATCTAGCTGAAATTATTTACTGGTTAAATAGGCAAACTAGGAAAAGCAGTCAAACTGAACAACTTGGTCAACAAGACAAATTTCAGAATTAACTGATTTGATTAAACCGGACAAAGCCAATAGGTAACCTAAATGCTTTATTGGCTAAATGTCAATCGAGCGATTACAGTTTCACCATTTTAAACTACTTCAACCAATAAAGATGCATTGTGCTATTTGCGAAGTTGAAATTTTTTCGCTAGTACTACTACTTAATCATAGGAACCAATCCATCTAGTTTGTTTATCTTAAGTAGTTAAACCAATTAAACTTGAGCAAAACTGCACAAATTGCAAAATCTACCTTAATTGGTGGAAGTGGTTCACATAGTCAAACTAGATTAAATGGCTCAACTAAAAATATATAAGTATGATATATAGTTTGTCCGGTTCAACTCATTTCAACTGAACAAAGTGCATAACCAGCATAATCCATTCAACTGTAAAATTTGAACAATTTAGTCCAAACACGGTCTAACAGTCAAGCTAAGGTCAACTGAGAACAATTGTACAATCTATCTACATTGGTTGAAACTCTTTAAATGGCCAAGTTAACTTCAAGAAATAAGCCGAATAAAGACTGTGAAATTTTTGCAGTTTTACTGTTTTTGCCAGCTTGATTATTTAACCAGGTCACCCAACTAAGCTTGATTGCAATGTTTGTTTAGTTGAACCCATTAAGTTGCCTACGCATTTTGTCCTTTTCAACAATTTTAGGTATTTTAACCATTTGAACAATTTGAACCAGAAAAGAGATTTTGCAATTTGCAAGTTTACCGTTTTGAATAGTTTGACTAATTGCTTAAATAGTAAAAAAACCAGCGAAGATAGTTAAATACACAAGTAGTTTAAATGGTCAAACCAGTTTAAAAAGCTCAACCGGACAAAATGCATAAATAGGTTAAATAGTTCAAACGATGAAAAAGTCAAACTATCGAAAACAGTATAGCTGCACAATTTACACAACAGGCTAGACTCCTTCAAATAGTCAATCACGCTTAAACTCTTTAAGTAGGCAAAGTGCATAGTTATCCATTTTCTCCCATTGAACAATATAAGCTAGTTTGAGCATTTGAACTAGTTCAACCAGTTTAGATAGATTGTATAGTTTCTGCAGGTTAGCTCTTTTTGATAGTTTTACGATCTGATGAAATGGTCAAACAAGGAAAGTTAGCTAAGCACACAAACTTAACTACTCTATTTCCCCTGATTGTAGTAGTTCAAATGATCAAACTAGCCTAAAAGGTTCAATCGGATAAAATGCATAACTGGGTTAAATAGTTCAAACTGTAAAATAGTCAGACTATCAAAAACAGTATAACTGCACAGTCTACAGAATCTATGTCAACAGGTTAGACTAGTCCAAATGGTTGATCAAGCTAAAATTATTCGAGTGGACAAAATTCAGAACTAGCGGAAATGGTTAAACTAGACAAAACGCATAAGTTGCTTAAATGACTCAACCGGCTAAATTTCAATGGAACTGCACAAGTTGCACAATCTATATTGTTGGTGGTAGTAGTTCACATGGTCAAACTATCTTAAATGCTTTAACTGGAGAAAGTGGAAAACTAGCTTGATAGCATCAACTGCACAAATTGCACAATTTATCCTCAACGGTTCAACTGTCAAGTAGCTGAGATAGTCAAACTTAACTTAGAGTTACGGTTTTATTGGACAAAAAGCATAACCAGCTTAAATAGCTTAAGTGGCTAAATAGTCAAACTAGCAAGGAGACAGTTAAACTGAAAAAACTGCAAACGGTGGGAATGGTCAAACGACACAAAATGCAGGAAGTAGCTGAGTTGCTTCAATCGGCTCACATGGACAAAACTCACCAACAAGCTAAGTTGGTTTAAATGGTCTGAGTGATCAAACAGGCAAAAACAGTGAAACGAAAAAAACTGAACAAACCAGCTGAATTGACTTGTTTGCTACTGAATTACGCTCCTTTTAGCTGTATTGTATGAAACACGTTTTTTGCCTGTTTGCAGCTAACCACGCTGATTTTTGCTTTATTTCACTTAATTTATCATTTTAATGAGTTATGTGGCCAAATTACGCTTTTCTCAGCTTTTTCGCACCGAAAACTTGTATTTGTTTCTTGGAGCTTTTGTGGGCTTTATCTCACGAAAAGCAACGTTTTCCTTTTTTTGTTGCTAAGCTATAATGTTTTTTTTCTTGATCATAACTATTACTAATTCTTCAATTCTTATTAGTGCCTTCGCAGCTTAATTTTTTACTAATCATTCTGCGCAATTGTAATCGAACAGTGTAATCGAACAGTTAGCCGTAATCGGACACCTGTAATCGGACAGTTGAAGCAGCTAATCATACTAGGTCCACTCAGCTAAATCCACCAATCACAGAATTAATCACAATAACAAAAGAAAAACTAGGCAGTTTCCAAAATGGAGGAATTTTTAACTAAAGACATTGTCTCCACCGAAGACATTTGTTCTAAGTGTATTTGTTTTTTAGGAAACTGAAATGGTTGTTATTAAATGGTAACAGGATTTCTTGTTTTCCAGTTCTGTCTGTAAGCATACTCGTGATAAACAAATCGGACTCCCACTTCTCGGTCTTCCGATTTTGTTAATCACTCGTATGATTACAGACTGAATTGGATTCCAGTCAGTCCTATTACCATTATTTATGACACCAAAAAGATGTTTTCGTTTGTTTGTCGCAAAACTTACGCTGTTTTCAGTTTTATCTCACTGAAGACTAAGTTTTAAGTTTCTATGTAGCTAAATTACGTCTCATTCAGATTTATCTAACCAAAAACGTTTTTCCCCTTGTTTGGCGCTGAACTGAGCTGCTCTTGGCTTTATCAAAGCCAAAAAAAGGTTGCGATGAAGCCTGTTTTAACCAGTCACCCCAATATTCAGCCCAACCACGGTATTTCCATGTTCACTGCTAAATCAAGCTGTTTTTAGCTTTCTAGAACCGGAAGCGTGGTTTTTTGCTAGTTTGCCCTTAAGTTACATTGTCTTTAGCTTAAGTGCACCGAAAAGAGGTTTTTGCACCTTGCTAGCCAATCATACTGTATTTAGCTTTATCTTAATGTAAACAACGGTTTTCTTTTTTTGTGGCTAAACTACGCTGTCTTCAACTTTTTTACATAGGTAAAAGCCTATCTTCCCGTTTGAAGCTAATCACGCTGATTCTAGCTTTATTTCATTAAAAACGTTGTTTATGCTGTTATTGCACCGAAACCGTTTTTCCCATGGTTTGCTCTGAATCAAGCAGTTTTTAGCTTTATCTCACCAAGTGTTTGGAGCTTCATCTCATGGAAGACAACGTCTTTACTTTTTGTAGCCAAAGTATCATGATTCTAGCTATATCTCACTCAAAACAACGTTTTTCCTTTTCCGGTGCTAAATTACACCATGTTTGCTGATTAAACTTTTAAGCAGCAAACAGGCGGGAACCTTTTTTCCGGTGCAAAATAGCTGAAAACAGCGTAATTTAGCACCAGAGAGGAAAAACCTTGTTTGGAGTAAGATATAGCTAGAATCAGCATGATCAGCTGGAAATAACCGAAAACTTTTTTCCAATGCAAAAACGCTGAAAACAGCGTAATTTAGCAACAAAACAGCAAAAACCTTGTTTTGAGTGAGATACAGCAAGAATCAGGTGATTAGCTGTTAACAGGCGAAAACCTTTTTCCAGAGCAAAAATGCTGAAAACAGCGTAATTTTGGCAACGAAACAGCGAAAACGTTGTTTTGAGTTTGATAAAGCTTAAATCAGTGAATTAGCTACAAAGAGTGAAAAAAAACCATCTTTTACCGCGAAAAAGCTAAACTCAGCGTAACACAGTACGGGATGGCACGATTTGTATTTTGTATTTTTTCTCGATATTCCTATTCATTTCATCAATATCTTTACTTAACTACGATGTTAATGAAGTTAGTAATACTTCGGAAGACTTTAACGAATATTTGGCAACTTTTTCGGCGAAAGTAGATGAGCTGAACGTGTCTGTGGCTATCGCACGAGGTCGCCATTTTGAATCTCGTTGCCCTTCTGCCAAGAGAAGAAGATTTTACCAGGCCAGGATTATTTATTATTCAAATTCGTGTGCTACACACAATGTGGAATATTAATTGATGTGTGGAGATGTTCAAGCTAATCCTGGTCCTTGTCATAATAACACTGGAGGACCTTACTCTGATAACCACCGGACCTCAAAGAATATTCTTCGTTGTATGTCGCTCAATGCAAGGTCAGTCTGCAATAGGCTGAATGAGTTTCATGATTTAGTGAAAATGAGCAACGTGGACATGGTAGCAGTTACTGAAACCTGGCCTCGTCAAAGCATATTGGACACAGCAATTCTCAACTCAAATTATATTACTTTTCGTCAGGATAGACCAACTAGATCTGCGAATGACAACTCGACAACACTTGATTTACTTATTACTTCTGTTCCTGAATTTGTTAGACACATCACAATTCTCTCAGGAAAATTTTCCTTGGACCATATGCTAATTACTTTTGACATCATAAGTCCACTGAAGTGCAACAAGCCATTGAAACGCTATGTTTAAGACTATAAGGATGCTGATTTCGACGGATTACAAGAAGTCTTAAAGCATACTCCTTGGGATGTAGTTTACGATGAAAATGACATGGATTTTTCAAATGTCAAGTGGATAGATCCTTTTTTTTTGCAGCTGTCAACGATTGTGTCCCCAAGATTGCGATAAAATTAGCTTATAGTGCTCCATGGATTGATGCTGAAGTTCTTAAAGCTGTTAGAGAGAAAGAGAGACTTAGAAAGCGGGCCGAAAAGTGATCCTCTGAATATAACTGGGCAACATTTCGATTGCATCGTGCGGAACTCAAATCACTTATTAAATGGAAGCATGAGCAATATTTCAGTTATCTTGGAATAACCACATTGAGGTCATCATCAGTAAAGCCAAGAATATGCTGGGCATGATTAAAAGAACTTGTAACAATGAATGTGATCAGAAAACGTTGATAATTTTATACAAATCGCTTGTTCGATCACAGCTGGAGTATGCTTCACAGTTCTGGTCACCTTACACTAAAGAGAATATCACTGCACTGGAGTTCGTACAAAGACGTGCAACTAAAGTTATCCTGAAGACTGACTTAAGTTATCCTGAAAGACTTGTCAAACTGAAACTTTTACCTTTAGAATATAGAAGAGAGATATTAGATCTTTGGTTTTTCTTTAAGTGCCTGAGAGGTTATATTTATTTTAATTTTTTGTCATATGTAAATTTTAAGACACCCAAATATAACATCAGAAATAGTGAAGTTACACTGGTGAAAGGCCTTTCTAAAACTGAACTTTTTAAGTTTTCTTTCTTCAATTCTATTGTCGGCCTGTGGAATTTCCTACCACTAGATATCAGAATAATTGAACATTTCTCATTATTTAAGAACGGTATTAATAAATTTAACCATAATAAATCTAACGTAAATAAGGATAGATTTTTATAATTGATTGATATATTGTCATGATAATTCATACTATATGAGCAGACTTGTATAATTTTTTATGTATATCTATATATATATATATATGCATGCTCACTAGTTTTTCCAGTTTGAGCACTCTGGCATGGCTTAGATGATCCCACGTATGTGAGATCACTTGGGGTGGCTATATGGCCTTACCTCCATCCTTGCATCAGCACTGCACTGATGAGGCCCAGAAGGCCGAAACAGTACTGTCTGCAGTTAGTTATATAAAACATATATATATATATGTTTTTTAATTTAGGCAGTTCATTTTTATAAGGAATCCTCGTATTCTGTATAAACTGACCTAATTATGGAAATCTTGTTATTTTTTCATTTTTTTATTTTTATTTACTTAATTGTTAGTTTACCTACAATCTGTATATTAAGATCTGTTTGATTAACGTTGAGTAAAAAAAATCATAAAAAATAAGAACGTTTCGGTGCAAAAATGCTAAACAAAGAATAATTTGGCAACAAAAAAGCAAAAACGTTGTGTTCCATGAGATGAAGCTCAAACTATTTGGTGAGATAAAATTAATAACGGCTTGATTCAGAGCCAACCAAGCGAAAAAACGTTTTCTGTGTGATAACGCTGACAACAGCGTAATTTAGTAAGAATAAAGAAAAACCGTTGTTTCGAATGATATAGCGACAATTAGCGTGATTAGCTGCGAACGAGCAGAAACATTTTTCACGTTGCTAGAAAGCTAAGAGCAACGTGATTAGCTGCAAAAAAGGCAAAAACCTTTCTCTGGAGAGATAAAGCTTAAAACGGCATAATCCAATGGCAAAGAGGCGAGACAACGTTTTAGTGAGATAAAGTTAAAATTAGCGTGATTAGCTGCAAACGAGCAGATAAGTTTTTTCCAGTGTAAAAGATTGAAAACAGCGTAGTTTAGCCACCAAAAGTAAAACCGTTGTTAACATTGAGATAAATCTAAAAACAGCGTGATTGACTAGCAAGACAACACAACCTCTTTTCAGTGCACTTAAGCTAAAACAGCGCATCTCAGAAGCAAAGAAGCAAAAAAAACATGTTTTCGGTTCAAGAAAGCTAAAAACCTGCTGATGTAGCAGCGAAAAAAGAAAAACCGTTGTTTGGCTAAGACTAGGGTGTTAGTTTCGAAACGCGTGGCTAATGTACGTTTCTGTTAGGTTTGTTCCGGTCTATTATTTCTTCGCGGGTTAATGATTATAACTTAACGAGTTTCATTGCTATAAGTCGCTGTCGACACCACCACTACAAACAGCGTATCGAGATGTCAGGCAAAACCTTGAGGTGGCCCAGCGACGCCAGAAGGATGCCTATGAAAAAGGAGTGAAGCACACGGCTTATCAACCTGGTGATCTTGTCCTACGCTACACGCCACAGTTCAAACCAGGGGAAGGAAGCAAGTTTCACAGACAGCGACAGGGGCCCTACGAGATTGTAAAGCGGGTCACCGAAGCTACCTCTCTGGTCAAGAAAGTTTAAGGAAGCTCGAAGAGGTCCAGAGTAGTCCATTTCAATAACCTACGGTTTTACCAGAGAAGACAAGAGCCAACAGAAGGAGAAACTACTGGCATTACCAGAAGTGCTGAGGGAGTAGAAATGGACCCAAAGGAAGTTGACGACGAGCTAGATACTCTGACAATGCCCTCAGACAATGACTTACATCAGTCCTGTGACAGCGATATTTTTGAGGTCAGTGATCAAGAGGGTTCTAAGGTTAATGTGAACATGCAGGCATGAAGTAGGTGCCTCAGACCAAAGAGATGACAGTAATGACGAGGTGGAGGAAGGGGGGTGCCACCTATCAGAGCCAGCGGCAGGTGCAGGTGAGAAGATCCCCCAACCGTTATGGCGAGTGGGTTCTCAGTAGCATCCAAGAGATCATCGCACGTCTTCGGACGCTTGAAGCCAAACAGAACATGGAAAAGGAGCGGATAAAGAAACTGAAGCCGAAGTTGTTAAAGAAAGCAAAGGCATTGCGGAACATTCAGACAGCCTTCATTTATGACACTTTATGTTTTTTGTTTTGTTTCGAGAACTTAGCGTTTCAAGTTTCTTCGGACAGTCTGTTTCTATAGTTTACTCTGAATCAGGAGTTTCATGCTTATTTGGGAGGGGATGATGTGAAAGCAGGACTAAACGTTATCTCTTACATAAAGTATGTGATGACCACGAGGTTTATTCGGTGTTTTTAGTCGTAGAATATCAGAGCGAGTCTAGTGTAGAACAGACAATCGTCGGCCGAGATATTTTCGTACAGAATCAATTGGACAAACTGCGTAAATAACCAAACTGCCAAAAGCAGTAAAACTGCACAAGTTGCACAATACTTAACTGCTTGAGGCAGCTCTAATGGTCAAACCACCCTCACGTTTTAAACTGTACAACTAAGCTGAAATGGTTCCAATAGTTCAAGTTGTCCAACTAGCTTAATGTATTCGACTGGCCAAAAACATCAAACCAGCGAAGATCGTTAATTTTACAACAAAAATGCAAAATCTTTCTCGATTTGTTGAAGGAGTTCAACTTCTCAAATTAGCTCAAGTGGTTTAACTGCAGAGGATGCATAACTAGCTTTCTAGGTTCAATTTAGAAATCTCCACAATGTAGCTGAATTGTTTGAGGTGGCTGAGATGGTCCAAGTAAATGAATTGGTTCAACTGGTTTGGTGGTCAAACTAGTGAACAAAGTTGCACGATCCATCTTAATTCGTTGAAGTCGTTCAAATTGTGAAAGTAAATCATAATGCTTGAAACTGCACAGAAACTGCAAAATTTAGCTGAATTGTTTCAGGTAGTTAAAATTGTCAAAGTAGCCTCATTGATTCAACTAGTTGAAAGGTCAAACAAGCAAAGACAGTCAAACTGCACAAATTGCTCATTCTATATGAATTGGTTGAAGAAGTTCAAATGGTCAAACTGACTAATATGGGCTAATCACACATAACCATTGAGTAGTCAAACTAGCGTGGACAGTCATACTCCACAAATAGCGCAGTCCAACCTAATTGGTTCACGTGGTTGAAATGGTCGAGCCAGTTTAACTGGCTCAACTGCACAAACCACACAATTTAACTGAATTTTTTCAAGACAAACTAGCTTAATTGCTTCAACTATTGAAACAGTTAAAGTAGCAAAAACGGTTAAACTGCACAAAATTCACTCTCTATCTCGACTAGTTGAACTAGTTACAATGCTCGCACTAGCTTAAATGCTTGAACTGCAGAATATGCATATCCAAAGTAGAATCCTGCTAACAATTATGCGAATCGTTTCAGCCCCTCATGGTCAAGACAGAACAAGTTTGATCGAGGCAAGCCTATCAAGCCGGCAACATGTTACTATTCCAGAAAAGCTGGTCAGCTGATTTCTAGCTGCCCGGAAAAGGGGAGAGTGGTGCCTAAGCGGGATGGTTTTCTCGCTAAGACATTGTCCTTCACTGCTGTAAGTGAAAATACACCCCCCCCCCAAGTTCTAAGAGAGAAGACTCCAGCAAGTGCTGTGAGTGAAGTCAGTGGCCCCTGCAAATCTGTCATGGATGTTTTTGAGCCCTTCATCCATGATGGTTCGGTGTCATTGTCGACTGATACGGCCAACTCCATACCAATCAAGATTTTGACAAGCACTGGAGCCTCGCAGTCTCTATTACTGAGTGACACTTTGGTGTTTTCTGAAAAGTCGTCCACTTGTGCGAGTGTTCTAATCAGAGGAATCAGTTCCGAGTATACCCCAGTGCCACCGTATACAGTATACACCAGTATACACCAGTAGTTGTCAATGCTATTGTCACCGACAAGCCCAGTTAAGAAAAGCCTCCAGAGCCAGTAGAGAAGAGAATTCTCCGCCTCTACCCATAATGCGTCTTGACACAAGGCATAAGTAAGAAGTTAGAAATCAGAGACAAAGAGGTAACATTAGCTGATACCGTCATCAGCCAGGTCCTTAAGGATGAGCAACCGAATCCCCCTCTCTCTCAGCCAGTATAAGTACTTTCTGAGAAAAGTTTAATAGAGCAGGTCGAAAAGATGTCAACCTCTCAGCTCATTGCAGAACAACACAAAGACCCGGAAGTTTCACCTATATTCTCAAGAAGTGTTAGTGAAAGCGAAGTATCTCAGAACCCCACCTGTTACTTTACGAAGAATGGAGTGCTAATGAGAATGTGGAGACTACCTGATATTCCCGCAGAAGAGGAGTACCAGTACCAGATGATATTCCC